CAAGATGGCGCCGGGCATTTTGCAGAGGGAGTGGTTTGTGAAGTAACGCCAGCGAGCCATTAAGTGTGGAGATTCTTTATTGGTTGACTGCTGTATCTAGTTTATGTTAATTAAGATAAGCTGTGTGGAATGTATATATACCCCTCCTGTCCTACAATAAACAGCTCCCACTCCTGCTGTATCAATCTACACAATTTGCTCGTCACTCCCCGGTTATTTTGCTGCAGCCGGACTGCGACATCTCATAATTATATTTGATATGTCACTGTCTCCTCTCTATGCTGTTACCCTCCCTGATATAAGTCCTAGGGAGGCAGAAGCAACGTCATCTTCATTTTCTGTGCTCCCAGAGCACTATGCCTGATCCACAGTAGACCCTCAGTACATTGTGATCAATGAATGAATGAGTTTGAATTTAAAGACTAATTACTAAAGTCCATGTTCTTTTTCCTATGCTATCACACCTAAATTCATCCCAGGAGAAATTAATAATAGGAATTCTGGTGTTAGGGAGAGTTCTTCAGTCCAATAAGCTCAATCAATCCTAGTTGAAGAAGATCAACATTCCCTTGGACATGCCACTTTGGGCATGCAGAACAAGTGCTTCATAAGTCATCAAGGGAAACTTGAGCACGTCAGGCAGATAAATCTCTGGACAATCCTGCAAGACTGGGCAGGGTATCAGGCTATAGACCAGTCAGCCTGACTCAGTAGGAAATTTGTTTGATTTGTTCTCGACCACAATCATTAAATCTTATTGAGCTTCAAATGATCAAATTGAGTTTTTGGAGTTTTTGTACTAGATAGAAAAAATAAAAGATAGTAAGCACATTTTCAGACTTCCTATTAGGCTATTTGTTGGTTCCCAGGCTGTGCTATCCTTAGTCTTGGAGCATAGCAGACTTGCTGCCCTTGGCTGCAATGTGACCTCCACTTCTCTTGTGCCTCCACAGCTTTCCTGTGGAGCCTCTGCCAACGCCAGAGTGCCACTGTGGTCCAGACTGTGGAGTCAGGCGCAAACTTTAGGTTCTTATTTGTATAACATGGATAATAGCAATCACTACGTGCTTGCTCAGAGGAGTACACGTATGGGACAGTGTATATTTATGCTTAAAAATGTGATTTTCCTTGAGTTTGGTTTCATTCAGGGCCATTCATTTCAAGTCACAGGGTTTACATCACATTTGTGGAGGTGCCTCTAGAAAGGATCCGCCACTAGCCAGCACTAGGCTCTATCCTCGGTACTCCACCAACTTCTTCTTATGTCCTTACCACTTTCATGAGAAACTACCTTTATCCTCTAGTGCAGACATGGGCTTGAAAGCTCCCAGCTGAGTACCAACCAAGAGCTCCCAGCCAGTCCCAAGGTGGAAAATGGCCACTCAACAGTAGTGTCTTTGGATTCCAGAACTATCACCATGTCCAGATTCAGCTCAGCCCCATATTATTCTCCATCACAACTTGTAATGATCATTTGCAAGTGATCAATGAAACAGCTTTCCCCAAGAATGAACCTGCCTGGAAGGATTACAAGCTTATGTTGCAATAGACAATTTATACAAATAATGCAAGCTATCCTGGAATACTGAGAAAGAAATCTATCAGCTCTGAAAAAAAAATCAAGAGAACACTTTTGATCGTAATGCATAAACATATCATTAGGATTTATAGACACATATAGAGACACACATAGAAATCTAGACTTTTCCTTTAAGAAAGCCACTATAATAAGTATTACAGACTTGGTGAAGGCCAAATAGAATCGACTCCTCAATCAGATTGTGGAGCACTCTCTCCATAAACATGGAGGCCTCATAGCATCCTTGCCTATATGGTTGGACTGCCAGGGTTCAAACCCAGCTGTCATAATGAGTCACGAGCATTAGCTCGTGGGTGTTAGTTTCATTGCCTGTAAAATGGGGCTAGCAATATACCTACATCAAGGATTAAATGAGATTAAATGAAACAATTATAATGATGCCTGGGAACAGAATGCCTTTCTCAATATTATTACAGCCCCACCCAAAACCTACAATATCCTACATGGGTCAGATAGACAAAATACTTTAATTGATGGGTTATTCGTGGCACTATTCTACGGCTGGCACACCCTTCACTGGCCACAAGAACACAGGGACCTGGCAGCAAGACAGCTGCAGACTATCTCAGTTTGAATCCATATTCTGCCACTTGATTAACTGTAAATGAACTACTCATTCCCATAAGTTCCTCATAGTGAAACAGTGTCGTTAATACCCATTTCATAGGACTGCTGTGAGAATTAAATATGAAATAAAGATTAAAAGGAGCTTCCCTTCCCTCTTTCGCACAGATCCTGCTGTGGTTTGGATCTGGAACGTCCCTTGCCAGATGCTGTGCTAAAGGCTTGGTTTACAGCCCATGCCACTGTTGGGAGTTTAGGAGGTAGAACCCTGTCAGAAGAAGTTAGGTCATTTTGGATATGCCCTCAGAGGGGATACTGGGATGCTAACTCCTGCCTCTCTCATTTTGCTTCTTGGAAGTCATAAGGTGAAGAATCCTCTTCTGCCCCATACCCCTGCAGGAGGTAACAGGAGCTGATATCTCAGAAACTATCAGCCGAAATAAAACTTTTCTGCCTTTCAACTTGATTATCTCAGGTATTTTGTTGCAGCAACAAAATCTAACACAGTTCTTATTGTTTCCTTGATAGCCCTTTCAATTTTTTTCCCCACACCTGCCTATTTGCCACTTGTCTCCCTGAAGAGAATTCATGCACCAAGAGTGGAGGGAATTCGTTGCTCCAATTCAATGGAATCCTCAGCTCCAACACTGGGCTAAGCTTGCAGAAGGATATGATTATTTATTGAGTAATTACTCTTTTATATGGACTTGTCATTCATTAGTTTATTGATTCCCTAATTTATTTAATCCTTGTGTCAACACTGTGAGGTAGGAATGTCATCTCCATTCTATAAATGAGAAAATAAGAAGTAGTCTTGCATTCATGCCACCTTTGACTGAGTAGCCCATGCCCTTGACTGCCCCCATCATGACCCTGATGATTGTTCATACAAGGCATTATGGTGGAGGAAGTATTTCAATGTTTCTATGGAACCCACTGGTTGGAGTCCCACATAGTACCATAAAGCTGTACAGCCACAGAAGGAGGAGTGTTGGTCCCCACATGAAACTGGGGCAGGATGGGGTTTTACACATGGTGTGAACCCTGTGTACAAAGTGCAGAAACATCAGGAAAATCATGAGGTTGAACAATTAGTATGAACATTTGAGGAGATGTCAGAAGTATGGAAGATGAAAGAAACTATAAAAACTAAGCGAAGAAGCAAAACTAATTAAAGAAAATGTTCTGTGAAAGAGTGTGTGCTCCTTAGTGCTTAGAATAGTTGAGAGAATGATAGGAAGGTAGAGATGGAGAAGTCATAATGGAATCTGGCAAGTGATATTGATTAATGACCTTCAAAAATAGTGTTTTAGAAGAATTGGAGTAAAAATCTATATTTGAGATTAATGTAGATTGGGAAAGAGTATCATTTTACTTAGTGACACATATATATAATGCTTACCATTGGACCTTGGACTATTCCAAGTGTTTTGTAAGTATTAATTTATTTAATCCATATTCAAACATTCCCACTTTTCAGATAAGAAAATTGACAGATCAATTAAGCACTTGACCAAGACCACATAGCTCACAGGCAGTAGACCCGGGATTCAGATTCACACCCTGTGATCTTGCTTTCCTGCAAAATCTGTACTTTTAACCACAAATGTATAATAACTCTCTGGGCTTAGAGGAGAAAAAGCATAAATAAGTCCTATTTATTATCATTCCTCTTTGGAAAATACTGGAGCCTGGAAGATTGGCATTATCATGTATTTTTTTAAAATTCTTTTCTAATTTTTTTCTTAGGTTTGGCATGTATCATAATTAAACACTTCTTCTAATGTATCTGTGGAAATGAGGACACTTGAAGGATTATGTGAATGCTTATTATAATAAAATAACTCACTGTTGGATTATACTAACTACTTGCCATGCATCTTAACCCAGACCATAAATTGTTAAATACATAATTTAAACAATGGCTCATGTATTTTAATAACACGTACCCTCTTTAAAAATTATTTTTGTATCTCTTTTTGCTTATCTTTAGGTCACTGTGATAGTTGTGAGACTTCAAAATTAAAGGATTTCTCTCTTCTGTGGTTATCTTCAGTAATATTGTCAGTAGTCATCACTGTAGTGGTAGCAGTACTGGTAGTAACAACTTCTCTTTTACTTCTACTGCTATGACTCTGTAAATTATACCACTTATACCATTCTATTATTGTTTTTAATTGGCAAATAATAATTACACATATTTTGCAGGTATGGGGTAATAATTCTACACATGTATACAATGAATAATGATGATCAAATTAGGGTCACTAGCACTTCCCTCTTCTTAAATGTTTACCAATTCTTCCTGTTGATAAGTGTTGAATTCTTTTCTTCTATTTTTCATAAAATATGTCTTGAATTTTTGAAAAATATATCACCTTATTATGCTATCGAACATTGAAATTAATTCCTCCCACCTAGCTATATTTTGGTATCTATTATTTAACCTCTTTCTATCCCCATTTCTCCTATTTTTTGCAGCCTCTGGTGATCACATTTTGTTCTCTACTTCTATTAAATCAACGTGTTTAGCTTCCACTGGTGAGTAGGAACATGCAATATTTGTTTTTCCATGCTTAGCTTATTTCACTTAACATAATGTCTCCTAGTGGTCAGAGTGTAAGTGGAATTTTACACTCTCAGGATTATGGGAAAATTGAATTTAGACCCATTATTAACATTGGAAACTACTACATTTATACACACAAAAAAACATTTATTTATGAAGACACATAAGCAAGTCTTAAAAGAAGGTGAAAATAATACCATGAAGTGTTCTATTGATTTGTGTCAAATTCTGCTTGACACTGTTTTCTGTCTTCACTGTTATTTTTACCTGATAAAATGTCCTGGTCCTTTCTCCCTGTGAAGAATGCTTTGACTGATTCCTTGTCTTCCCTGTTAAGAGAGAAACAGCAGCTACAGTCAAAGTGCACTTCATGTTCTGTATGTTGCTTTTTTTTATTATTTGAAAAGACTTCAAATGCCAGCCCTCAAAGTCTACTGAAGCTTCACAGCTGACCCAAACCTTATGCATCTCTCTCATATCCAAGAAGCAATCTAGAATAGGGTCTGAAAGAAAGTGGGCAAATTAACTGAGCTCTGTTAACAGTGGTTATTGATAATCTCTGACTTTGGTAACACCAAAATAAATGTCTTTAAACTTAACATAGAATTTTCCCATAATCCTGAGAGTGGAAAATTCCACTTACACTCTGACTACTAGGAAACATTATGTTAAGTTCTCATTTGATCCTCATAAAAGCCCTGCAGACTAGGCCCTATTGAGCCTATTTAACATGGGAAGAAATTGGGGTTCAATACGAAATAGAATAATTAATATTTACACTCTGGTCATTCTAACCCCCAAGAAAACCATTTGGCCAAACTTGATGTCTATTGCAGCCTGTCAAAGTTACAGTTCATATTAGTAGTTGAGTGTGTCTGATTAGATTTTTTGAGAAAACTATTTCTTTATTAATTTCATGATTGACTGTCTTATAAAAACCTGTTAGACCAGCAGACCACCAGAGCAAAGGTTTGTAGTGTAGCATGTATTTCTGTGGGCAAAGTGTTCTGAAGGCATGCAATTGAGTGGTTCAAGGAATATTTGTTGGAAACATGGATTAGGTCACATACTACTAACTACTGTTAGGTAACTATCTACTGCTAGTTATCACACTGGGAAACTTACATAGGTCAGTACTTGTGAAGTGTGTATAAATAAATGATGTTATTCTGAGTTGTTTTAAATTAAATTCCACTAAAAATTTTTCCATAAAATTGGGGCATTATAAAAGACATCTCTTTGAAATTATTTATGTGCTCCAGGGCACAAACAAGAAAAGAAAAAAGGAATCAGTCAGTGAATCATCTGAGTCCAAGGGAAGGTCATTGTGTCTAGTTCACATGGAATCAATTCTCCAAACGTTTGGTCTGAGGCTTGCCTTTCTTGCACAAGGCAGAAAGAGAAAGCAATCCAGTTCAGTCCCTTTCTCTGCACTTGTGATTTTAAGTGCACAGGTTTGTGTGATACTTAAAAGACTTGGAGCAGAGAATGGTGTTTGCCCTTTATGGTGCTGGTGGTTATTTATGGACAGATTGTAGAAGCTTGTTGGAGACATGAACTTAACTATTTTATCCAACTAAGGGCTTTTTTAATTAAAAGCTCAGAGAATGCCAGTTTGTTAGATATTAAGTGGCTCACCAAGATTTAAGTTCCTTATCCCTATAACAAACCATCTGCATGCTTTGTCTTAAATTGCTGGAAAGTATCCAAAGCAAGGATTGATAGAGTACAGAGCTTCATTGAGACCAAAGTTGGATATCTGCATTGAGCAGAAAGCCACCTTCTTCTCCCACTGTGGGAATGCCCTGATGTTTCATGGACTTTGAAAAAATGCAGAGCTGGTTAGCATAGAGGACATCAAAATTTCCAGGAAGATTCACAGATTTTGTAAGTGGTGCAGTTGTTTTTGCAACCTCAGAAACACAGAACTTCAAGTGTCTCTGAACTATCATTATTCACCTTGCCTGTGGCTCTTATCAACATATCTATGAAAAAGATAAAGGGTCCCCTTAGGGGTCCAATAATCCCAAATGTCTCATAAAGGACCTGGCAATGTGGCCAAAGATTTGACGATTTTGAGTAAAATTTAGCTTCAGTACAGTGTTCTTTCTTTAATAAATCATCAGTGATAGATTTTTGGAACCACAAATAAAACTACCCTCCCTAACACCAGCAGTGTCAACATCAGAAATTCTAACAGTGTCATTAAGTTCCAACAACTCTTTGGGGGGGTCATACTGTTTACTTTTGTGCATAAAAAAAAAGTTATTAAGTACTTTGTAGTCACTTTCTATAGTTTTGCTAACAGTTCATATATTAAATAATTAACATGATACCACCAATCACACCATTATGATAAATTAATTATTTATAGGTATCAAAGTCATTGTTCACCCATCATTAAGCAGGTGTGGTGGCACATACTTGTAATCCCAGCAACCTGGGTGGCTGAGGCAGGAGAATTGCAGGTTCAAGGCTAGACTTAGCAACTTCGTGAGGCCAGAAGCAAATTAGCAAGACCCTGTCTCAAAACAAAAATTAAAAGGACTGGGAATGTAGCTCAGTGGTACAGCATCCTTGGGTTCAATCCCCAGTACCAATCAATCAATCAGTCCATGAAAGAAAGAAAAGGCTTGGGTAGCTTTGGAATACAGATGACTTCATCTTGCTGCGTCTGACTCATTATGACCCCATAGCAGTCAAGAACTAGCAATGGCCATAAGCCTTTAGGAAATGTGTTCTTAGAATTCACACTTCCCAATAAACTAAATTTTGGATATTCAGTATGACAGCTCTACTATTTTATGTTACAGAATGGTTTGCAATCAAGGGTAAAACTGAAAGTGAAGCAAATGTTAACAGATTGCATACAAAGGGGAGCAGATATCAAAGCCATGATTACCAGCCAGCACTGTAGTTAGCTGTGCCCAGAGAGAGATGGGCTGTTCTCGCAATGAGACCAGGAATTTAAAAATGAGCTGTGTTATGGTGACTATCATTATTGTTATTATAAACATTTCGTATTCAAGAGCAATCCTATGCATGATGTCTCCTTTCATCCTTGCTGTAAGTCCATAAATATAATATGGACAATATTATTTACATTTTATAGGGGAAGCCATACAGATAAAATGATTTACCCAAGGCCACTTAGTTGACCCATTGTAGAGCTGAGATGGGGAACATCAATCTTGCCACCATCTTGGCCAGTTTTGGGAAGAGTGATAGCTTCCTAACAAAGATTGAAGTGTCTGTCCCTCAGTCTGCTCCCTGCATCCCACCTGCTCTGGGTGTGGAGAAGGCTGGAACTAGGACATATGGAGGGAGGATTTGTGGAACTCAGTATAAGAACAATTGTAACTAGGGAGTGATTACTTCTCTCTGCTTAGAGACGACATGCTTTGTTAATAGGAGTTCTGTCACTCAGAATTCTTGAAAGTGTTTTAGAAATTTAAGGGGAAATTATAAAAATAACAAAGTAGCTTTTATAAAACAGACTGTAAATAGAAAGTGATTTTTGCAAATGTATACCTAGGTGCCAATAGAGGAATACAGGCTGGGAACCTTTTCAGAGGGTCTGTTCTGCATTTTCTCCCACAAATATGATTCGTATTTAAAGGCAAATATATTGAACTGAACATATGCTTTCACTAGGGGCCCCTAAAACCTACATCTTTCACTGCCTTGAACTCTGGTCTCAACTTATGTCACAATGATCCTGCTAAATCTTTATGTATTGGAATTTCTTGGTTTAGACAGATAGTGAATCTTACAGTCAGCCCACTCTTGAAGGGAAATACCTCACAAGCTAAGAACCATGCCATAGGCTTCTAGTTCTTACAAATAAAAGGGATTTTGCAGATCAATGTCTTCAGGGATTTGTTTCCCCCCTCTTTCACAAAAGGATGCTGACACACGTTGTAGACCAACAGCGAAAAACACCTGGAAGTCATTTAAAAGAATATTTTGTTGTACTCAGTGGCTTGGATTGCTGTCAAAAATGGCTTGTTTTGTTGTGTTTTAACTTGGCTTCCCAAAGTCATGGTTTTTACTTGATATTTCTTGCTGCATTACATGCACAAAGGAGATACATTTGCAACCAAATGGCCCTCCTACTCACTGATTTGAAGATGTTCTTAGATAAACAGATTTTTCATGCCTTACTATTTTAGTTAAATCCATCAGAGCTTTGGCCCCTAGCTATTTGCTAATCACTTCATTTCTTAGTCACGTTTTTTTCTTCCTTCCCATTTTGAACACTTAAAACTTTCTTTTCATAATTAAGCTTTCAAAAATGTTGTCAAAGTTACTCCTTCACATCTTCACTCTCTCAGGGATACATGGTATTTTAACCTATAAATTAACCTGATCCGTTCATCATGACCTCAGTTTCAGCCCATAGTTAAAAAACACGATATGCTGCGTGCTCCAAGTTTCCTTCAGAAATTAATATTCTAATTCCCATAAAACCTTTATTGAGGTAGCACACGTGTCAATTTCTTTCTAACTAGAATATTTTCCATGAAACACCAACTTAATGTTGCACCTGCTGCTCTGATTATTATATTGTATCTAAAAATTCATAAAACATCACAATTCATTCAGGAGGAAAACATTCAGATTAGAAAACAAACAGTCATGTCGAGGATACAGATGTCCTAATAGGATCATGCACAACTACTAAATATACGTCTTTTCCTCCTAATTCTTGACCAATAAGAAGTGTGTGGCATTATGTTTCTGATTTGGCCACCTATCCAAGTGCAAATGTGGAATAAGAGCAACAGCATAAAACTAAAAGCAAAACGAATGTTAACAGTTTGCTGAACAGTCTCCCCTGAAGGATGATTCAGAAGTACAGAACTGCGGCCGACATCTCTGACCAGAGAGCTATGAGGCTGGGGAAATCTAATCATGTTTTCTGTCCATTCTGTTTTATGAAATTCTCCGGCTGCACACTTTTTATATGACAACTGGACCATGAAATAACCTGAAGCCATTTATGAGAGTTTCAGCACCCTGGAGGTGGGGAAGGAGGGTGAGCATCCTACTCCCAGTTATTCTGTAGGGTCTGAATGGGCATGGGAGTGGGGAATGAATGGAGAAAGGGCATTTTTGTAATCACACCTGAACAAGAGAAGGTTCTATCTGGTACCTCAGTCTGGGTCAAGGCCAGCTTTCTGGAGTGGCCCTTCATTGTCAACCAGGGGAGGAAAGCATTTTCTGACCACAGGAGGAAAGGACAGTTTGGGCACATGTTAAAGTTTCTATGGTTCAGATCTGATTTTGCTATTTCAGCAAAGACAAGCTGTTATGGATTAAATAGGACTTGTCCCCCAATAGGTCATGTGTGACAGAATGCAAGAAAGCTTAGAGGTAACATGATTGGGTCATAAGAGCCTTAACCTAATCAGTGCACTAATCCACTGGTAAGGGTTAACTGAGTGGTGACTGCAGGCAGGTGGGCTTTGGCTGAAGGAGATCGGACACTGGGGGAGTGCATTGGGGGCATATATTTTGCCCATGTGACAGGATTCTTTCTCTGCTTTCTGGTGCCATAATCCCTGCTGCTTTCCTCGGCCACACACTTCTACTGTGACATCCTGCCTCATCTCAGGCCCTGAGAAATAGACCCAGCCACGTGTGGACTGAGACCTTTGAAACCACGAGTACCCAAATACACTTTTCCTCCTTAAAATCGTTCTTGTCAGGTCTTTTGGTCACATCAGCCAAAAGACTGACTGAAACACAAGGTTTTAGCAGTGGTGGCTGTGATCTAGCAGAGGCCTTGGAATCAGGACCCTAACAGCCTACTACTTTTCCAGTTTTTTAAAAAATAAATTATTGTGTCCAATTGAAAGATGGACACAATTTAAGCATTGAAGATATGAAAGTTGGAAAGGGGGTGGTTATCTGATCTGCTCATCAGAAATCACCTCATATTCAATGATTCATCCAATATTTATGGGTCCTCACTCTGTGCCAGGTACAAATCTTAACCCTGTAATTCTGTACTGAGCAGGACAGAATCACTGATCTTATGGAGTCTGTTATACTGGGGTGGAAGAACAAATAAATACACCAGTAAATGTGTTCTGTCATAGAGGGTATCTTCTACAAATAATATATGATAGAGTAATGGGACAAGAAGTGACCTTGGGCAGGGGAGGACAGAAAGGACAACTGAAAGAGACCAGAGAAGTCCCTTCTGTGGAGGCACCTCAAGAGCTGATGTCTGATGAATGAGGCGATGGAGTCATGAGAAGACCCACAAGTGCAGGTCTAAGCAGATGGCACAGAGATCCTGAAATAGGGCCAAACAAGTGCTCACACGTTGACTGTCTGCTTTGTAAAATCACCCATCAAATGTGCCAGAAATTAAAACACACACATACGACCCTGGAGTTTACGTTTTATGATCCACAGGATATGTACAAATGATCTGAATCTAAAAAACACCACGTTCCTTCCAGTGAAGTGCTTCTTTCTGTTGATGCCCGCCATATGGTACACAAAGAATATCACTTATGAACTTATTAGGAATTCGCTGGTAACTCCAAGAAGAACACCTTGTTCTAGGCTGACTGAGGATGGTGATGATGATAATGATGACCCCTTTTGAAAAAGTAAAAGCAACCTATGTTCTCCCACATTATCAGGCTTCAAAGAGTATTTAAGTCCTTAACTTGGCCAGACCTTTCTCTGCTTGACAGGTATGAATGTTCTTATTGTTTGTCAACACCAAGGACATTTAGGCCTAATAATCCATCATCTTTCTAATTTAAGAGTGCTTAAAAAGCTGAAAAAATGTGAAGGAGGAAAGATCATGTCAAAAATTTAAATGAACTCCAGGTTAATGTTGTAAGTTAAAAATACAATTAGAAAAAAATAATGTAATAATACTCATGATTTAGACTGAAGCCTGGACAGAGGCCCACCCACCTGCCCTCCCCACCACCCTGCTGCTGGACAGAGGCCAGCCCTACCACACTGTGTTCTGGTGATCTAGACAGAGGCCCAACCTACACTCGCGGGGGCAGCCACCTCACTCTGGGGTTCCTTATTCACCAAAGCGTGGCTCCACAGCCCAACATCAGGGTACACGTAGGCTTGAGGCTACCACTGCAATGAAACTGGGATGTCACCGTTTCTATCAAGGGACAACAACAAGGACCTGATAAGATGTCATAAAGGTCCTTGTGGCCTGGCTGCACCAGAAGTTTCTCCACTAGGGGTGCTAATAGTTATCCTGTTGCTAAGGTGACAGGGAGTCTTGCATGGGGTTGCCTTTCTCTTGTTTCTCCTACTAACAGCCAACTTCTCATGATCACCCTCTCACTTGCCATATAACCTAATACCTCCATATTCTCACACCCTACCTCATAAACATCTCAGCCAAACCCCCAGACCCCCTTCCATCATCAGAAACTGTAAACCATTATGCAACTCATTGACTATATGGTAGAAGATAACCGAACTCATCATTCCTGATTATAGTGACATAAACATAAATGTAAAAATAGAAGCTAACTAATATATGGCTGCATATTGGGTAATTGAGTGCTGCAATATTGATCTCTCCCTTTAAAGTCAGGTACTGGTAACATATAGAGAAACTATAAGACAATAGGGCAAAAGCTATAATACCTCGAATCTTCACTGCAAGAGAGGGAGACACACAGACATCATGAAAACACAAGGGAGCAAAGTGCTCCAAACAAACCAAGATACTACAACAACAGAATCCTTAGATAGTGCAGTAGGTGAAATATCAGAGAAGGAGTTCAGAATATACATAATTAAAATTATATGGGAATTAAAGAATGACTTAAGTGACCAGATACAGGCAAAAACCAATCACTCCAACAAAGAGATAAGAGAACAAATACAGGTTGCAAGAGATTACTTCAAGAAAGAGAGAGATACTGGAAAAAAACACAGAAATACTTGAAATGAAACAATAAGTCAATTAAAAAAAACTCGATAGTATCACCAACAGACTAGACCACTTGTAAGACAGAACCTCAGACAATGAAAACAGAATATACAATCTTGAAAATAAAGTTGACCTCACAGTGAAAATGGTAAGAAACCATGAGCAGAATATTCAACAATTATGGGATACTATCAAAAGACCAAATTTAAGATTTATTGGGATAAAAGAAGTTTCAGAGATGCAAACCAAAGGAATGCACAATCTCTTGAATGATATAATATCAGAAAATTTCCCAAACATGAAGAATAAACTGGAAAATCAAATACCAGAGGTCTATAGGACACCAAATGTACAAAGTTACAACAGATCTACACCAAGACACATTA